ATGGTTGGAGACTGTTGATGGCTTTGGAGGATCTGTGTGTTTGGAACCAGGTGAGGTTCGAGCTGCACGAGCTGTTATACTCGTACTTTTTGAAGGAGAAGGGTCGGTATCTGGTAAACTTGAGGCATGATCGATCTCACCTGGTGACCGACTTGCGGTCCAACGATAAGAACTAGAAAGACCGATACTTCTCCCTGAGGGGTCAAGCTGTCTTTGGAGAGAAGGGACAGGGCAAGATCCCAAGCGGCTAGCGAGTGACTGGTGAGAACTTAGTTGTTTCTTTTGTACTTTGATTACTAAATCTTGATTGTGTTTTTTGTTTGCAGAGCTTGAGTACAATCGGGCTGGGTAGAGCGGAGATGGCTTGGACATTGCGACCTAGAAGGTGTTAGCCATCTCGTCGGAGCAGAGGGACTGGTGAGTAGTGCTAGCAGAGTCCAACTTGAGGACCAGCATTCTTTGGGCCGGAGTAGAGGCGATCCAACAAGGTACTCCCTTCCCCTCGCTAAAGCAGACTTGGGATGTGCTTCTGAGTCGATACTACAATCATATCATTTTTGGTGAGTCCGAGCTGAACCCACTAACCGTTCGAAAGTTTGCGCTTACAGAATCACTGATGAAGAAGTTGACCATCCCGAGTGCGAGCGAGTCCATCGCCCGACGTCGGGAGAAGATGAGGAGGGAGTCTTTGGCCAGGGAGGACATGAGGGCAGAGGATGTGTTAGTGATGTCGCTGAGTTAGTAGCCTACGGCCGGAGCTGGATCGTCCCAGACCGCGGTCATGGATGAGGATGTCGGGACGATTACATTCAGGATTCTGGCTACCACGTTGACCTACTCTGACGCGACATTCATGACTAAGCTGGCTAACTCGTTCTTGTTCCCAGCGAATGAGGCACATCTGAACTAGATGGGCGCAATTGCTACTACTGACTGGGGAGTATCCCGCGCTTTACAGGTATGACAGTAGTTTTGTTCTATTTAGCTTCTTACTTTCGTATTGATGACAATTCTTCGTTATGCAAGCACTCACAAGCAGTCTTCACCTCAGGAAATCTGTGGTGGCGTAGGAGAAGATGATACAAAATGTGTCCAAGGCGAACAATAGCTTGCGCAAGAGAGAGGCAGTAGCTCGGAAGGCTGAACAAGAGAGTCAGCAGCGTCAGAGGGATAGCGAGCGTGAGCTGGAGAGGTTGAGGTGTGAGTTGGCCGAGAAGACCTCAAAGATTGAGTCTCTCAGACAGCAGTGTATTTCCATTGCTAATGACGCTATCATCAAGGCCCGGGGTGAGCTTATGCTTGAGTTCAAGGAAGGGAGGACCTCTCATTGGGACTCATATGAAGATATCTAGCTCATGCCGGAGCTGTTGGAGGAGGGAGGTGGTCACCCGGAGGGGCTAATCGAGGAGCAGATGATTGACCTTGCTAGTCAGCTAGGACCGATAGGTGCTGGGGATGTGAACGACCAGGCTACTGGTGGTGCAGGGAGGACAACTGAGTCGGAGATGGAAGAGACGACTCGTACCGAGGATCCTTAGTTTTTCTTTGTTTATGCATTTTGGGGCCTGCGATGCCCTTTTTCCTAGCTTATGTGCCATTTTTGTATTCTAAACTGAGCTGTTTTGAGGCTGTATGTATTATACTTGATTTTTCCAACTTCTGATGCTTTCTTCATGGATGAGTTAGTTCATTGTTTCTTTACATGTAGATGCACCAGGTTGTGTTTGTTACTTTAGTGTGGCCTAGTGGCTAAGGCATGTAGGCCTTATGTTGGGCTAGGTTGGTGCTTTGCTTATTGTAGGTGTAAAAGCAATTCACTCAGTCTGGACAATCGAGTACGAAGTCTCTTAGATTGAATGAAGTCAATCCGGAGGTGTGAATTCTTGGGTTGGACAGGGCCGACTCGAAGGTGTGAATCATAGATCAGGCTAAGCCGATTTGATGGTGTAATTTCGTGGATCGGGCGAGGTCGATCGATGGTGATTCTGTGGACCAAGCGTGATTGATTCGAAGGTGTTTTCGTGAACCGAGCATGGTCGATTTAAAGGTGTTTTCGTGAATCGAGCGAGGTCGATTCGAAGGTGTTTTCATGAATCGAGCGAGGTCGGTTCGAAGGTGTTATTGGCAAATCGGGTAAGGCCAATCTGAAGGTGTTATTATGAATCAACCAGGGTCGATTCGAAGGTGTGAAATCGAGGATCGGGCAGGGCTGATCTGACGGTACGAAATCATGAATCGGGTAGGGCTGATCTGAAGGTGTAATTGTGAATCGAGCAGGGTCGATCCGAAGGTGCGATTTAGTGGATCAGGCATGGCCGATCTGAAGGTGTTACAAATAATTGATCGACCAGAGTCGATTTGGAGACAAAAAAATTATGAATAATACTTGATTAATATTTGGCTAGGAGGCCGACTGTCTAAGAGGAGGTGGATAGGCCCACTCATCCCTTTAAAATAAAAAAGGAAAATAGAAAAAAGATAAGTTCACCTAGAAATAGTAGCGTTTGAGGTGAACGGCATTCCAACTGATACTGATGTCTTTACCCTTGGGGGTCTAGAGTTTGTAAGCACCCTTTCCTGCTTCTTTAGTTATCTTGTAGGGGCCTTCCCAGGTGGGACCGAATTTGCTAGAGTTGATCTCCTTGGTATTTTGGAAGACCTTGCGGAGGACCCAATCGCCTATCTTGAAAGTGCAGATCCTCACGTTATGGTTGTAGTGTCGGGCGGCCTGTTGCTGGTAGACTGCATTGCGGATGCTCGCCCGTTCGCGTAGCTTGTCAACAGTATCTAGATTCTGGCTGTTTAATTCCTCGTCCGTCCATTGGAGCCTGGTGGATGGGACTGATACTTCGGCTGGGATGACCGCTTTTGAACCGTATGTGAGGGAGAAGGGGTTCTCGCCCGTTGACGAGAGAGCCGTGGTTTAGTATAACCAAAGGACTCCAAGTAGTTTATCTGCCCATGCACCCTTAGCTTTTTGTAATCGCTTCTTTAATGTCTGAATGATGCTCTTGTTTAACAACTCGGCCTGGCCATTAGACTGGGGGTTGCGGGGGGTTGAGAAGCTTAGTTTTATTCCCCACATGTCATAGAAATCCCTAAAGCCTGAACTGATGAACTGGGATCCAATTGTCAATGACGATCTCCTTCGGTATCCCGAACCTGCAGATTTCATAATCTTCTTATTTTGTTAGTTTTAGGATACACATAATGTTCTTGAGATCCTGTAATCTCCTAATTATGTTTATATATTGTAATTGACATAATTAGGAGATTCCGTAGATTGTATCCTCCCTATTTAAGGTAACTCTGTAGTAAAAATCAATAAATTGAAAACATAATTCTTCAAACAAACAAGTGATACTGAGATGTTATCTCCAAGTTCATGTAATAGCTTCCATTGATTCCATATGCTTTGCACTAATTAAATAATAGGAAACCATTATTCAAACAGGTTATTAATTGATCAATTCACAGTAATATTTGTTAATCTAAGTTTACCTTTGGTCTTGAGTTTCCACAATATCAAATAGCTATAGTAGCATAATAGAGGTATAAATAAAACTACTCCTAATGACTTCCACCACTCCTCCTATGCAATAAATAAATAAATAAATAAATAAAAAATTGCATTATGGAAGAGAGTTCTTCTAAATGGAAATCCTGCCTGAAATTCATGAGTTGATTTCTAATTTGTATGATTAAAAATAAGTAGTAAATTATGCGACTCCGACCTGATGACTTTTCTAGAGTAGTGCTTTAATTTTCTTTGAAAATTCTTATAACATTTAAATATTCTAAGATTTCTTCAATGCATGACAATTATCGGTGGCCCATATTAATCAACCACAGTAGGTATGTAGTTTAAAAACTTTAAAAACTTACATAATTTTATAAACTTATTATTTGTATTCTCCTGATCTTAGCTTAGATAAACTTATCTCTTGACATGTTTACATTAATATTTATGTACGGTTGAGATTTTTTAGTTTTTGTTTTTCATCTCTTTTATTAACTACTAATTTTAACCTCGAATTTTACTTGGGTAAAGATTAGATAAGCAACAATATTCATGCATTAGTTTAATTGAAATAAATGCAACGAAACTTATTATTTATTTATTTATTATTATTATTATTATTTTATGATCAGAGGTGTTCGAACTAGTTTGCGTGTAACTCAATTAATCCCTTGAGACCTTGGAATTACCAATCAGGTAAAAACTCTAGTGGCCACCATTATTAGTAGTTATAGGGACTCCAATTCAAGAGACCATGTTAGATAGAAGCTTATTAGTTTATCCAATGCCTATTGGCTTCACTCAGTATTAGTTCTTTTGGAAAATAACTCATATAACCTTTAATTAACATATATCATATTGAAGTCTTGTCATGTGAACAAAAGTCTTCTGTCCGATTGTCTCCTAGCGAATGCCAAAAGACAAAATTGGTGTTGCTATTAATAAATGAATACTTCGGTTATGCTAATTTACAATTCAACTCAGTTTGTATTCATACTGCCTGTGAGACCGCAATGCTTAAAAAAAGTTACATTTGCTGTAGTGTGACACAGAGACCTTGATTCGGAAGCTTTATATGTATGGAGGGCACCTCACGTTATTTGAAAAGTTAGATTTTTTATGCAGAGTAGCAGAATTATGCTCTGTTTTTATTTGAAGTATTGTAGCAATTTTTTTTCAGAATATATCCAACAGGTCAAAAATTTCCTCCTCTAACAAGTTGATTTATACCTTAGGTTCCAAGAGGCAATAAAATTGATATGATCATCAAATATTGTAGGGGCCAGTCAAGTACTCATGCATCTCCTCAACACCATCAGAAAATGAGTTGGGATGTTACAATGGTTGATTTTAACTTGATTAATACTACACACATACAAACAGCTAATCGCAGCACAAATGCCATACTCAATATTTTATGTACGATATTGGTTCGTACTTCAATTTCAACAAATAAATTATGACAGAATAAATGACAGTAATATGAAATCCTTAATAATTATCAATTTCATGCTTTCATGATTGTATGTATGCATTGAGGCCTTCACAATTATACTTATCTTCCTTCCATCTCTGAAATTGTTACATTATTTGCGGAACAATTTTCGAACTTGTTGGCAGGAACTTCAGGCTCTTTAGTATTAATGAAAAATGCTGGTTGCTTTGGTGCAGGCAGAACCATAGTTTCGTTGGTAAGCATGGAAACAACCTCAGACATTGTTGGTCTATCCCTCGCTTGGTCTTGCACGCACAAGAGACCCACAGTAAGGTATCTCAACACTTCATTAGGAGAGCAAGATTCATCCATTGTCTGGTCTATTAATTCTAAACCTCTACCTTCATTCAACAACTGCCATGCCTGATTAAAGAGGTAAGATTAGATTAATTGTAGATAGATCAATGCTTTTGAATATTATTTAAGGCCCTTCACTTAATAATTAAAAACTTACATATCCAACAAGGTTGAGTGGGCGCTCTGTATCATAGCAGTTGTTGTTCTTATTGCAACTCACAATTTCTAATACCATCACTCCAAAGCTATATACATCAGTTTTCATTGAGACAACGCCATTAAAAAAGTACTCTGGAGACATGTAGCCACTGAAGAATAATGTAACACCATGTATTAATTTTAGTATATGAAGGGAAAGCATTTGTATATTAATTTAAATGACTTCAAAGTTGTATACTTACTGTGTTCCAACGACTCTATTTGTGTTTGCTTCCAACTCATTCCCCCCAAAAGCTCTTGCCATGCCAAAATCTGATATTTTTGGATTCATTTGATTATCCAGTAAAATGTTACTTGCTTTCAAATCTCTGTTAATCACTTTCAATCTTGAATATTTATGAAGATAAACAAGTCCTTGAGCTATTCCATCAATTATACTTAAACGTTTCTTCAAATTCAGTAAGTTCTTTCTACTAGAATCTGTCACAAAAAAGAAAAAAAGAAAAGTAGTAATGAGTAGTTGGTAGGTGATTGACTTGGAGCTGCGAAATGCTCACAAGGTTTGGAGAGACGTACCAAACAAAAAGAAATCCAAACTTTTGTTTGGCATGTACTCATAGACTAAAATCCTTTCTCCTCCATGAAGAGAACATCCTAAAAGCCGCACAAGATTAGTGTGTTGGAGTTTTGCAATGAGTTTAGCTTCATTCTTGAACTCCACTATTCCTTGTCCTGAAGTTTTTGAGAGCTTCTTTATTGCTATTTCTTGTCCATCTGGTAATTTGCCCTGAAATCATGGCGTTTTTGGTGATTACCAATTGTACACCTAATTAATAAAAGTAAAGGTTAAAATGTTTACTTTATAAACTGGACCAAAACCACCCTGTCCTAGTTTATTTGTTGTGGAGAAATTGTTTGTAGCAGCAGCTATGACTTGAAAATCAAATATCGTCATCTCTTGTTTCTGATCTTTATCTTGGGATTTTCGTTTCCCCAATGTGATCGGAAGTGACACTGTGATGTTATCTCCAAGTTCATGTAATAGCTTCCATCGGTTCCATATGCTTTCCACTAATTAAAATATAAGTTAATTATAATTCAGACATTGTTAACAGGACATACTATTTCTTAATCTAAACTTACCTTTAGTCTTGAGTTTTCTCAATATCAAATAGCTATTGTAGCATAACAGATGTATTAATAAAAATACTCCAACTGACTTCCACCACTCCTTCTCTGCAACAAAAAAATTGACCATGTTAAAAAATGCATTCTCCTAAATACATGAAACTGTGATTTTAAGGATGGTTATTGTTGATCATCAAAGCTAATATTTTCAAAGATTGCATGCATACCTTTGTCTAATTTGTATTCTTTCCACCATCGGTAACATAAGAAACCAAAAAGAGTCACCACTGCAGTTACCAGTATTCCAACGAATATCTGTGTATGTCGCCACAACCTTTTCTCTGCAATTTCAAGAAAAAAAATATAGCATATGATTTGAATTTAATTGAAAATTCTCAGGCGTGGCACCTTTTTTTTTTTTTTTTTTAATATTTTGATTCTCATCATCGGTGGCCAAACCCTAAAGGCAATATTTTTATCATTTGAATACGGGAAAGTTAGTGTTTTCTGGGCCGGTAGAACATTTACTGACACATTGAACAAGGTCCGTGGACGTCCGGAAGAAAGAAATATTATGAACTTACTTTAGTGTGCATGTCAATCTTATCAGTCTTCTCTGCCATAAAAAATTAGAATAATTCTTCAAAATATCACTTTACAGTTTTTTTCCATGATAAATATTCTTTTTTTACAGAAATCAATAATTATACTAGGACTTTTTCGACGTAGCGCTTATTGCCTAGCAAATGAAAACATTAAATTTTTGCAGAGACAAGATTTAAATTTGTGGTGAATGTTATGAATACAACCAGCTGCTCTTCCTATGCTGACAAACCAATATCTTCTCTTGCAATATCATGAAACCAAAGAGTTAGTAATTCTTTACAATAGTTTTTCTTAAGTAATTCTCATGTAGTTTCTTCACATAAACAAGGAAGTTTTTCATATAGGAGCAGCAGGCTTACCTTCGTGTTCCATTGTTTCAAACGGCGCACACCCTCCAAAAACAGAGCATTCAATTGTTATTGATCTTTTGTCGCGTACTATTCTGAGATGTCCATCCTGATCAAGTATCAATGCTGGAAATGATGTAACATCTTCATTTACAGAATAATTGAAGTATGTTTCTTGTTCATTTGAAGTGTAGCTGAAGTTGTAGAAAATATCTTGTAAACGACCATGTGTAAAGGAATCATTTTGCCAGTACCCACTTTTCAATTTGATTTCCCCTCCAGACCAGATCAGCAACTGGCTGCCCAAGACTTCAAGGGTATATGACCCGTCGGCCGGATTATTTTCATTAATCCATGACTGAAGAAACCATTTATGCCCGGTTCGCTCGTTGAATCCCAGTTTCATTCCAGGCAGAAGTGTGTCAGTCGGATAATCAAAGCTTTGCCACAACACCCGCCCTGTAGAACCGTTTGAATTCATTTCATACAGGATAAAATTTCCAGATTTCTCCAGAATAGCACTTGTATTACTAGCTCCTCGAACTGAGCTTATTATAATAGGATTTCCACTCTTATGTAAGATTTGCAAATTTCCATTTGTGATGTTTACTGTAAGACTTCCGGACTTATCCAAGATTGGAGTGTTCCTGTTGGCAACCCACACTGGCTGAATCCTATTGTTGAGTGCACACCGAGAACTGAAGTAGTCTTTGTAGCAATCTTGATCACCATAGTGTTGTTGGCCCTCCCAATCCTGAGGCCTATAATACCATATTCCTAAGTAACGGTTTGTCGTGCCCTTAGGACTAAAAAATCCCAACCTGAAGTTACCAAAAGCGGAAACCAGCTGATCCCCATCTTTGAGAAGTTGGCTTTGAAGTAATTTGTTTGTTTGGGAATAAGAAACTCCAAACAGAAGTATAAGACATGAAAAGCTCAAAAGGATGCGATTTGTTCCCTTTCCAGCCATATTGTGAACATGAAGAAATGAGCCTTAGTACAAGCTACATGAATTGTTTGAAGTTAATTTAATTAAATAGTATAAGTACAGTGCAAATCAAGACTATTGACTTCAGGTGGTGATATTGTCAAATTAAGAGGACACGTGCATTGAAACTTCATTAGTCTTAGATCTTTCACTGAAACTTCATAATGAATTGTTTCAAGATACATAATGAAGCCTACGAGTATATGCATTGAAGATGACTTCATTAGTCTTAGATCTTTCACCGAAACTTCATATGTTCAAATCTGAAAAAGACTACATAACTTTCTAGTAAATTAGTCTGAGATGGCGACAATTGTCTGCATTGACTATATGGAATTCAGCCTGATGACTCTATTTAGAGTAGTGGAAACTTATAAAATTTAAATATTCTAAAAGTTGTTCAACGTATGACAATTATTCGTGGCCCACATTCCTCAACTACCGAATGTATGTAGTTTAAAAACTAACATCCATTTTGTTATAAATTGATTTGATCTTAAAAGATGAGATTAAATCAAATAAGTAGATTGACGGTTTTCTATTCATCTGATCTTAGCTTAGATAACTTATCTCATGACACGTGTACATTAATCTATGTTATATTTTAATTTTACTTTCTCATCTTCTTTTATTAAGTACTAATTAAAGATTAGATAAGAAACAATACTCATGCATTAGTTTAATTGAAATAAAAGGCAAAGAAGCCTATTCGTTTGTGGGTTGACTTTTGACTTCACCGTGTATTAGTTCTTTCGGAAGAGGACTTACATAACCTTTAATTATTCAAGATCATCAATCAAGCCTTGTCATGTAAACAAAAGTCTTCTGTCGGGCTGTCTTCCAGTGCATGCTAAAAGCCAAAATTGGCGTTGCCAATAATAAATTTATACTTTGGTTCTGCTAATTAATAATTCAACGCATAGAGTTCATGACTCAGTTTTTTATTCATAACAACTGTGAAACCGCAATGCTGAAATAAAGTTATATATATTTCTTGTAGTGACACAGAGACCTGAGTTTGGCAGCTTTATATGTATTCAGGGCAGCTGTCGTTATCTGAAACAGAATTATGCTCTGTTTTTACTTGAAGTATTCTGGCAACATTTTTCAGAATATGTCTAACAGGTCTGTTAAGAATTGAACCTATTATGGTCCATGCAAACATGACTCAAGTTGTGAAGAAACAAAGGCTGAAGTTTTGGAGAAGAAGAAGGCAGATTTGTGGCCAGAGGAGATTGATGCCGTGGCACAGATGGATGCCATCAAGGGCGGATCCACCCCAGGCCTACCCTCAAAATTTAAAAAAAAATTACTAATATATAGACCCATAAAAAATTGCTATTAATATACATATCCAGGCCCACCCTCAGATTTTTAGAAAATGAAAACTATTATGCATATATCTAGGTCTACAAAAAATTTACTATTAATATAAATATTCCAAACCCACATCTTATTAAAAGTTTATAACTCTTTTTACTCTTCTTCTCCACGACCACCTGCTTTTTATGATTGTATCCCCAAATTTATTTACTCTCTCTTTCTCTTTCTCATGCTATTCGCTCTTAAAATTTTTGAAGACTAAAATTGTTAAAGCTTTCACTGCTCAAGGTGCGACAATTAGCTCCGTTTTCTGTTTTATCAGTTTTAAGTATATGTATTGCTCATTTCAATTATGTTTATCTTACGGTTGAATCATGCTTGTTTTTTTTTTTTTGGAGGTTTTTGATTCAAATTTGAGGGGAAAAGACATGGATCTTGTGAGTTTATTTTGTGTTTTGTATCTAAGAATGAACTTGATTTCCTAAATTAAAACCTTAACTATATTTTAAAGGACATTATTTTTCACCCATCACCCATCACTTTCCTACATTTCAAACTTTACCGTTCAGCTGCTCAAAATTATTAAAGAAATTTAAGTTATTATCTATGTTTATACCAAGAAAATTCTCCTTTTTTTATTAATTCATATTAAAAGTCAACGCAACATTGACTTGATTTAAGTTTTGGTTGACTTTAGCTTATACTAGATCTGATCAAAGTTATAAAAATTTATATTATAATCTTTGGAAGCAACAAA